CACACACACACACACACACACACACACACACACACACACACACACACACACACACACACACACACAGACGTACGGACATCATCGTAAAAATAGTCAGGGAAGTTTCCTGTGACCTTCAAACGTCGAGATCTGATGAAAACTCGATTTTTGTAAAACGGGGTGAAAACAATAACTTCCCGATTTTTGAAAATCTGAGATTTTTAGCGGGAAGTTAAAAATGTAGTTAAGTGCAGTGGCCGCATATATACATTTTAATTTGAGATTTTTTTTTTAGTAAGACAAATGAGATTTAAATCGGCGGTTAAATAAATTTACACAAGCAATAGTATCATAAAAATGCATTTAGTGCATAGATAATTAAATTTTCCGACGTCACTGATGTTACATTGGTTTATATGCTGGCCACTTTAATGCCCTAGCCAACAAATGCGCAGCAGACATTATGTTATGTTGACAAGATTGTGATTGATGGAGGGCATCATATTTAACAAGTACTAAGCTATTATTGTTTTTATAGCGATGCCAACGTCCAGTACAATTATTATGCAAGTAAAATGTAAAATATTAACATTTTTATTTTATTTAAGTAAATAATTAAATAAAACAATTTGTTTATTGATATTTATCCAACTGTCTGGTTAAATTTTTATTTTTTAGATCGCTAGTTTTTTAAACCAACATCTGTTACAGTTGTTTTTGAATTTGACTCTACGATAAGAGACTATTATTAAGCGCTATTAAATTATTAATTGTCGATGTACTGACAACAATTATATATTTTTTTCATTTCTATCTATTGCTTTTTGTTTTTAACCTGTTATTTGTTTTTTATTGAATAACAACTGTTCGGAGAATTATCACAAAATTTTCGGCATGACGATGCAAGAACAGTTATTGTCAATAACATCCTACACTATGTTAAATAACAGCTTGTTTTTTACCTCACAAAATTATTAAACGTGTTTTAAAATTATTATTATTATAATAAAACCTCTAACAGGAGTATTAATTTTAATTTTTATATTAATGAAAGATGATCGAAAGCATCAATTATAATTTTTTTTTAAATCTTAGAACCAAGACGTGTATTTTATTTATTTTGTTTCTAGAACATTTATGTTTCCATAGAAGGGGAGATCACATTTACAATAACAAGGTACTAAAATTAACTATCTAACGTAGCAAAAAATATTAGTAAAATTTAAAACATTTTTTAACAATTTTTTTCTGTCTATTTATTAATTTTTAATGCCAAGGCATTAGCCGAATGGCAAAATTATACATTTTATTTACATTAAAGTACACAAAGTTTAGTGAAAGTTTTTAAATTATTTTGTAATTTCATTTTGAATATTTTTCTGTGTGAGGATTATTCATATTAAAAAATTAAAAAGAAAAATAACAAAGTAAAATAAAAAATAAAAAAGTAATCTATAAAAGTAAGTAAGTATGCTAATCAACAACTCTCTGTAAATTAAATTTGTGTAGACAGACAAAGTAGTATTTGAAATCAATCAATTTAAGTAGTTGAAGAATTTGCTGTCTTTGGTAGATTTTAGTATTATTTTATCTTTCTTTATTAACAATCTTTATTAACAATTATCTTTTTTTATTATTTTTATAGTGTGCACAGAAAGAAAGGTTAACTTGAACCAAAAGCATGTTGGTCTTGAAGAATTTGTTCTTGGACAAGTTTTTTTTTCTTAATTAAAGATGCGATGATACAAACTTAAAGAACCAACAAACTATTTAAAACAACTTCAAAAATTTTAAATTATGATATTAATTGTTGCCAAAAAACCATAAATCCATGAACATACGCCTATTCAGATTAAAACTTATCTGATGATACCAAATTTAATCATAGAAACTTACTCTATAACATACACTGAAAAAAACTAACTTGATTGAAGAAAAAAAAAATCTTGAACCAAGAAAATCATTGTAAAGAATTTTCGGTCTTTAAAAACTCTACAACTAAGAAATTTTTCTTAGTTTGGGTAAATTTTACTTCAAGAATTTTTTGATTTAAGATGACCAAAGTGTTAAATGACTTTTTTGACTCAAGAATTTTTTTCTTGAATTAAATTAATTTTTTTTAGTTCAGATATGTTCGTCACAAATTTTTTATTTATTTATTTTTTTATTTATTACTTGTACATAGGCCCATTAGTGATAGCCATTGACAGGGTCATTTAATATACAAATTAGGCGTTAAGTGATACAAGAAACAAATTTTTACTTTTCTAAAAAAAATAATGTTACACAATAAGTGTTAAGTTACTTAAGTAAATATAAACAATATTAATAATAATAATGGTAATAACAATAAATTAAATAATAGTAATGGTATATTACTAAATTTGATTAATAAAGTCTCAGTTGCTATATAACTCTATCAAAATGTACATAAGTAGTAGTAGAGAGTAGGAATAGTTATATATTTATTTATTTACGCATATACTATTAACAATTAGCTCAGAAAAATTAACAGAAGTATTTAACCAAGTTTCAGAAAATATATAAATATTATACTCAATAGTTGCAGTATTTCAGAAGATAGAATTAAGCTTAGATTTTAACCTGCGGACATTTTGATAGTAGTAGACTGAGAAGAGTTTAACTGTTAAGTTTAATTATTTTTGATTTGTTGTTAATCTCTTAGTTTAATTATTAATGCTTCAAAACAATTATAAAAATTATGTGAGATTAAATAGCGTGAAATTAAAACAACAGGTAAATTATAAAAAAATTGATAGACTGTTGAATAAGTTTGTGAAAATCAGAGCGATTCTCACAAAATTATTCAACACTTATAACCTAGCCTTCAGACTTAGATTTCGTCGAATATGATTCAAAAACTGTAAAATTTTTTTGCATCGTTTCATTTTTTTAATTCTTTACTTGTGCCAGCATTACAAGGATCTCCTTAAGGCGTGTAAAAAGAAGTTATGATTGACGTGACCTGAATTCATTTAAGATGAAAGTGAAATATTTTTTATAGCATTTTTAATGTTCAGCAATACGCGTTAGGCTCGTGCCACCTAACTTCTACTTGTGTTTTATACCAAATCATACAAATGATTGTCTAAACAATATTTAATATTCAATAAAGTTACTTGATATTTACTAAACAATAAAAGATGAACATAAACTTTGTAATTTTATAGGTATACTGCAGACATACTTAAAAACAATTTATGAATAATGTATCCTCTCATTGATTTCGTAATTTACTTTTACAAGCATTGTAAGATTATCCAAGTTCAAAAAATCTGTCATTATTCAATATGATAAAAATAAAAATTAATTAATTGTATCAATACCCACACATTACATTACTTGTACTATTTTAAATATAATGTGTATGTAATATATAATATATATATATATATAAAGGAGTGAAGATAAAAGTAACTGACGGCATCCGATGACGCGGGTGGGCACCTTGACCACGCGCAAACACACATCAGTGCAATGCTCGAGAACATATACATGCCTGCTGATTATTCATCGCCTTCATTCGTTATATTTATACGCTTTTGTTTACATGATTTAGTTGCGCACACGTCTGAGTATGAGTGCTTTTAGTATCCAACATAAATCATTATTTTCAATTAATATTACAGTTATTTTAAATAATACAAATATTA